GTTGTGAGCCACCATGTGGTTGCTGGGAATTGAACTCAGGACCTTTGGAAGGGCAGGCAATGCTCTTAACCTCTGAGCCATCTCTCCAGCCCTCATTTTTATTTTTTATCTTACTTTTTATTTGTTTGTTTGTTGTTGTTTTCCAGACAGGTTTTCTCTGTGTAACCCTGACTGTCCTGGAACTTTCTCTGTAGAACAGGCTGGCCTCAAACTCACATATATCCTCCTGCCTCAGCTTCCTGAATCCTGGAATTAAAGGCGTGTACCGTGATGCCCAGGCTTTATTTATTTATTTTTTATGTGTGTCAATTTTTCTTCCAGATTCATTCCTTTTACAGTATTTTATTTATTCTTTTTTATTTTTTATTTTTATTTTATTTTAGTTTAGTTTAGTTTTTTGAGACATGGTTTCTCTGTAGCTTTCGAGCCTGTCCTGGAACAAGCTCTTGTAGACCAGGCTGGCCTCGAACTCACAGAGATCCACCTGTCTCTGCCTCCCAAGAGCTGGGATTAAAGGCGTGCACCACCACCGCCCGGCTCACAGTATTTTACGCTAATAAGAGTTTCCTCCTCCCATTTAGAATGCAGGAATGATGATGACCCTTGTACGTGAAAACCACTAGGATTTCTTCCGTCAAGACTATTTGTGAGCGGGCTGGAGAAATGAGATGCCTCAGGCATTAAGAGCACTGGCTGCTCTTCTAGAGGACCCAGGTTCGATTCCCAGCACCCACATGGCAGCTCACAATTATCTGTAACTCCAGTTCCAAAGAATCTGATACCTTCACACAGACACACATGCACAGAAAATAACAAACGCGCGCGCGCGCGCGCGCGCACACACACACACACACAAAAGATTACTTGTGAAATCTGTATTGCACTTCAGATCACTCCCATGTTGCCACACATATGAAGATCTTGTCTTGAGCACGTGGTTTGTACTAAAATACTGTTTGTCAAACACTGCACGTGTTGTAATTTAAAAATCTCCATGAAGAGAAGTCACGCCATGCAACAGGGCTCGTGTGGGAGGTTTATTGGAAAAGAAGAGAGGAGGGCAGAGAGAGTGGTAGAGACTGGTGCCTGGGGACAAGAGCGGTGGTAGAGAGAGAGAGAGAGAGAGAGAGAGAGAGAGAGAGAGAGAGAGAGAGAAACTGGAGGTGGGCAAGGCCCACCTTTTAAAAGTGAACTTAGCGAATGTGCACAGGAGGTGCTCTTAGTGGCTACAGCTGAGGACGGATCCTGTGAGGACCCCAAGGGCAGGCCAGTACAGACGCCTGAACACTCACAGTATATTCACAGCTTTTGCAGCTTTGTGTGCGTGCCTTGGTTTCTGGATGCTCTTCCACCTGATCATCAGCTTCCTGGACTTTATCTGAAAGCCCCCGATGTACCTGGCTCTGCAGCATCCACACTTCAGCTGTGAGATACTGCTCTTGTACACTGTAAAGATTTGTCACGTGTATTAATTTAATAAAATGCTAATTGGTCAGTAGCCAGGCAGGAAGTAAAGGCAGGCCAACCAGTCTAAGAGAATTCTGGGAAGAGGAAAGGCAGAGAGTCAGTCACAAGCCAGATGCAGAGGAAGCAAGATGAGAATGCCTCACTGAGAAAAGGTTCCAAGCCACATGCTAAGCATAGACAAGAATTGTGGGTTAATTTAAGTTGTAAAAGCTAGTTAATAATAAGCCTGAGCTAATAGGCCAAACCCTTTATAATTAATATAAGCCTCTGTGTGTTTCTTTGGGATTGAACGGCTGCAGAATGGGCAGGAATGAAACTTCCGTCTACAAAACCCTGTCTTGAAAAAAAAAGTTTATTCAGAACTTTGTACCAACTTTTCTATAGATGATGATGATTATTAAAAAATCCCCAATTTAGGGGAAAGTGTGTACAAGAAAGGACAATGGAAGCTAGAATGTGAATAAAGTACAATTGTATACAAGTACAAAAGTGTCTTAATAAAACCCATCGTTTTGTATGCTAACTAAAATATTAGTTCTTAGTTCCTGTGGCCAAAACTTGTGAATGTGAAGGTCTAAGGACAACCAAGTGTGTATGTCCTTGCTGTCTTCCTTGTTTGAGGCAGGGTCTCTCCTGTCTCCTCAGCCCTTCTGCTGGTAGGAGGGTTGAGATTGCAGACACATGCTACTGTGTCCAGTTTTACATGCGTTCTGGTGTCTAACATACATTGTTATTGAATGGCAAGCACGTTACTGACTTTGTTATGTTCAGGGTCCATGCAGTCACAATGATTTGTTTGTTTGTTTTGCTTTTGGAGTTGTTTGAGACCAGGTTTCGCTGTGTAGTCCTGACTATCCTGGAACTTGCTCTGTGGACCAGGTTGGTCTCAAATTCACAGAGATCCACCTACCTTTGTCTTCCAAGTGCTAGGATTAAAGGCATGTATCATTACTGCCTGGCTCCAAAATGTTTGATGATAGTGGAAATATGCAGGTTAGTCCTCCAAAAGTCCTTAACTCGAGTTATCTATTGATCTTTAACCCTGTGTCTATCTTTAAATTGTGAGATACTGTATATGTATGTGAATACATTTGGAGTCAGGCAAATCTGTAATTCCAGCATTTGGGAGGCCAAAGCAGAAGGTCAGAGAGACCAGAGTTTGGCTTTAAGGCAAAAACATGTAATCCCAGCTGTTGACAGAGTGGGATTCAGAAGTATCACAAGTTCAATGGCTGCCTGTGCTACATAGTGAAGCTAGCTTGGGCAACTTGAAATCTGGTCTCAAATTTAAAAAAGAAGGAGGAGGAGGAGGAGGAGGAGGAGGAGGAGGAGGAGGAGGAAAAAGAAAGAAAAAAAAAAGAGATTCGTGGTGTGGTTCAGTGGCACAGCATTTGCCTAGCATTTGTCAGACCTGAGATTGTCTCTAAAACCAGAGGTGGGGAGAAGGAGTTTTGGAGGCCAGTCTGGCCACATAGTGATACCCTGACTTAATAAAGCAGCAACAAACAAAACACAGATAGCAGAAATGGTGTAGTATCAGAACCAGTTTAAATAATCGGAATCAAATGCAAGTTTAAATATACGGTCAGATAGCCAGATGTGGTACCCTCACAGGGGAGACAGAGGCAGGTGGATCTCTCTGAATTTGAGGACATCCTGGCCAACACAGTGCGTTCCAAGTCATCCGAGGCTACATAGTGAGACACTAATGCACAGGCTGGTTTTGTCAACAGACACAACCTAGAATCATCAGAGATGAGGGCCCCTCTCTGATGAGAAAGTGCCTCCATAAAATCTGGCTGTAAGGAAATGTCTTTTCCCCCCTGTTTTTGCTTTTGTTTTGTTTTTAAAGTCAGGGTTTCTCTGTGTTACATCCCTGGCTGTCCTGGTACTCACTTTGTAGACCCATTTGGCCTCTAACTCACAGAAATCTGCTTGTCTCTGCCTCCCCAGTGCTGGAATTAAAAGTGTGCACCGCCATGCCTGGCTCTGTAACACTAACACAATTTCTTTTCTTTCTTTCTTTTTAAAAAAGATTTATTTATTTGTTATGTTTACAGTGTTCTGCCTGCCTGTATGCCTGCAGGCTAGAAAAGGGCACCAGATCTCATTACAGATGGTTGTGAGCCACCATGTGGTTGCTGGGAATTGAACTCGGGACCTTATGGAAGAGCAGCCAGTTCTCTTAACCACTGAGCCATCTCTCCAATCCCAATAATATCTTAATTAGTGACTGAAAGGGGAGGGTCCAGCCCATTGTGGATGGGGACATGGGTGGTCCTGGGTTCTATAAGAAGGCGGACTAAGCAAGCCAAGAGAAGCAAGCCAGCAAGCAGCACCCCTCTATGGCCTCTGCATCAGCTCCTGCCTGGTCTCCAGAGCAAGTTCCAAGACAGTCAGGGCTATGCAGAGAAACCCTGTCTTGAAGAAAACAAAAACAAAAACATACATACAAAACAAATTTAGAAAGAATCCCTCGTATCATCGGGATGCTGGTGTAAGTCAATGGTGAAGCGTTTACCTATCAAGCAAGCAGACCCTGCACTCAACTTGAGCTGTAATATTTTTCAATCCAGAATAGAAAAACAAATAAATTCATTTATCGGACTCAGGTTTTTTTGTCCGTTTGTTTGGTTTTGTTGTTGTTGTTGTGTTTTGTTGTTTTTATATTTTGAGACAGGCTGTCTTTGTTAGTTACCATGGCTATGACGAAATGCCATGATCAATGCAATTTGAGGAGGATAGGGTTTATTTCATCCACACTTCCATATAACACTTCATCATCAAAAGCAGTGAGGGCAGGAACTCAAGCAGGGCAGGAACCTGGAGGCAGGAACTGATGCAAAGACCAGACTGACTTAGAAATCAGAAAAATACGCTTTCCTCTGTCTCCTGAGTGCTGGGATTATAGGAGTGCACCACCACGCCCGGATTTTCCAAAATATTTTTAAGACAGGGATTCACTATGTAATCCTGGCTAGCTCTGAACTCCCAGTTATCCTCCTGCTGCAGCCTCCGTAGCCTGAGACGGGTTTTTGTCAGCTGGCAGAAGTCATGTCCCGGCGATTTAGGGACGTTTTACGAATAACCAGCAACTGACCTGCTCAAATTTCATCTGGTAATGGCGCTGTTTTTTAGGTTTTAGCAAATGGTTTGAATAGAAAATCCGTAAACAACTAAATCAGCCTGAAATAAAGACAGTGTTAGGGGGCGTGGAGGGCGGCATCTCCCAGGTATGGGCTGCGTGAGATTTGCGGCGACATTCTGGGGACCACCGAGGGACCACCCAGGACACTCCGCCACTCCTTAGCCTCACCAGCCTCGGGCTCCCGCACAGGTGCACAGCCCGACCACGGCTGTGGCCCCGCCCCTCGAGCCCGGGTGGGAGGCGGAGCTTGCGTCATCTCCACGCGCATTCGCCCAGCGCGCCAAGCAGGTGGCGCTGGTTAAGGACGTCACGATCATTGACAGCGTGAGGCCGGTGTGGCTGCTGCTGCTATGGTGGCTGGCGGCCGGGTAAGGGTCTGAGTTGTTCTCCAGAGTGATTTCGGGGGGCGCCGGGAGACTGCCACGTGCAGTGCAGGGCGGAGCTGTGCCAGGGGCGCGTCAGACCGGAGCTGCTGCCCCCTGGCAGGGCGCCTGTCTGCGCCGGGGAGCTGCGGCACCGGAGGGGCCAGACTTGGGTGAGGCTGTGGGCAACGGGTTCTGCCAACGCGGTGGAGGACCAGGCTAATGACTCTCTCCCTCTCGGTTCGCTCCCCCATCCACCCTTTTTCCCCCCCTTGATTTTTACGCCGGCTGCAGGGGCACTATGTCTAGACTGGGGGCCCTGGGTGGCAGTCGCGCCGGATTGGGACTGTTATTTGGTACTGCCGCCGGCCTTGGATTCCTGTGCATCCTTTACAGCCAGCGATGGAAAAAGGCCCAGAGCCGTGGCCGGAGCCACAGTCTGCCCAATTCCCTGGACCATGCGCAGGCTTCAGAGCGCGGACGCCAGGGTAAGAGCACAGGTCATTACTTACTGATGACCCTGGGGCCTGGGCTGTCGTTGGCAGAGTAGGTGGACCGGCCAGTAGAAGGGCTGAGTTTCACTCTTTTAGGAAAGCCTTACTCTTTCCTCTGCCGGGAAAGAAGACTGTGTAGCTTTCACTTTTAGTTCTGGTCACACTCATGAATGTGTACCAAGGGCATTTGCGTAGTGTTGGGTAAGGGGTGGGATAGACGGAGGAAGAGTCTGAAAGAAGGAAGAGGGAATCCTTTCGTAGGAGAGAAAGCTCTGAAAGCTTGCCTATCAAATTATGGATTCAAATGTGAAGGACATGAGAATAATCCAAGTTTTTAAAATTATTTTTATGAAGGAAAATTCAGAGGTATTGTGTAACTTTCCCAAGGTTGTTACAGAGTAAGTGGAAAAGCTGGACCTGGTCATCCGGTCTAGTGTACTTTCCACAACGTGGTCTGAGAGCACACTCGTGCAACCAGAGCCGAGTGGCTGAGAGCCAGCAGTAACAGATGAAACGAGTTCCATTTTGTAAAAAACCTTCAGGTTAACTCATTTGAGCGAAGCATTTAGGCCTTCAGATCTCTGCCCCTTATTTGGATAACAGAAGCTTAGATCTTCTCATTTCGTGTTGATTGAAAATGCTTTCCTCTGACCACCGGTGTAGTCACAGATCCTCTTCTTCCCTGCTTCGAGAGTGCTTCGAGAGTGTTCCCCGACTTATCACCCTAGATTGCAGCTGTCAGCGTTTGATAGCGTGGTGGTAACGTGGCGTGGCCAGTGCCCTGTCTTTTGCCCTTGCGCTTGGCTCATTTGTGATTCCATAGTAGTGGTCTATTCTCCCCTGAGCTTGGGAGGAAGCAGACACATTCTATATGTCTTCCTTGCTGTGCCTTGAGCACTGCTGGCCTAGGTTGCTACTAGATTCCCTTTACCAAGGGATATATGCATGTCTGCTCTGTGAGCCCTGCTTCCTGAGTTCTTCCCTAATGCATATTCCAGTTCAGCTGCTTTAAATGGCTACCGAGTTCCTAAATTTCACCGAACTTTAGTGTGAGCAGATTGAGCTTGTTAACAGTGTTTTTCTCATGGAGTTTGGCCAGTTTTTCCCCCCCTATAGACCTTTTCTTAGTGACTGCCCATTTTCTTTTTGCTCTTCTCTGATAACACTAATTATGGCCTCAAGAGAGGCAGTTTACTATTCATTGTGTGATCAGAATTTGAACAAACCCAATTTTTGTTTTACTGTGTAATTGGTATTGACTGATTGGTATTTGGAACTATAAGATCAGAAACAATGTTTTTCTTTTTATATTTTTTAGATAGGGCTTCACATAGCTCAGGCTAGCCTCTAACACTTTGTAGCTGAGGTTGGTTTTGAACCCCTGATCCTTCTCTTCTGCAACCACTCCTTGCTGAAGGTTTTTTTTTTTATACTAGCAGAGCAACTGTCCTGCCTTCTAAGTACCACACCCTTGCAGGCATTTGACATTATTTGCTGCGTTTTAAAAGTTCTAAGTCCCTCACCATGTGGGACTTGGGCACTGAACTTAGGTCGTCAGCCTTTGCAGCAATTACTTTTACCTGTCAGTCATCTTGTTGGTCTAGACTGGACTTTCTTTCTTTCTTTCTTTCTTCTGGATAGTGACTTGAAACTTGTACTATGACTTAGCTGTGAAATGTATACTCTCAGAGGCCCAGATTCTCCTCTGTAAATTGCCAGGAGAAGCAAATGGCCCAGCATAGTGTTGCATGCTTTCAGACTCAGAGCTCAGGAGGCAGAGGCAGGTAGATCTCTGCCTGGTCTACATAGTGAGTTCCAGGACAGCTGGGACTGCATAGACCCTATCTGAAAACAAAGCAGGGCAAGAGAAGCAAACGCTCTACAATTCTCGGTCTGAGGGTTTTTATTTGTTTGTTTTTGTTTTTTGCCCCCCACCCCCTTGTTTCTGTCTCCTGTTCCACTTGCTCCAGTAATGCAGTTGCGGGCCATCCCAGGTGAAGCTGGAGATGCTGCCGTGCTGCCGAGCATCCCACAGGAGGGGCAGGAGAAGGTGCTGGACCGCCTGGACTTTGTGCTGACCAGTCTTATGGCACTGCGGCGGGAGGTGGAGGATCTTCGGAGCAGCCTGCAAGGGCTGGCCGGGGAGATTGTTGGGGCTGTCCGGTGAGTGACCTGTCTTCTCTTGCCTTCCCCAAGCCCTCGTCTTTTCCTGGCACCTACAACTTTTTCAGCTGGCTTGTGTTCTGCCTTTTCTGGTCTCTAAGGAACAAGCCCATTTTATAGCTGTTAACCAATGTGGAAGAAGCGGCATATTTGGTTCCCTCCCTTTCCCAAGTGCCCTGCTGCCTGTGCGCCCTTTGGTCTACGGTAGCCGTGCAACCTCTTTGTTCTTCCCAATTTAGTCTGCCAAACAGGTGGCCCCTTTGGTCTCCTGAGAGTAAAGACCCAGAATTTTCTCCTTCCATGGTCCTTCAGTGAGGGAGGAGTGAGGGAAAGACAGGCTGTATGGGTCCTGATATGCCTTCTGGGACATGGCCTGCTTCCAGATCGCATATAGAAGAGAACCAGAGAGTGGCTCGGCGGCGCCGGTTCCCTTTTGCCAGGGAGAGGAGCGACTCCACCGGCTCCAGCTCCATCTACTTCACCGCCTCCTCAGGGGCTGCACTCACAGACGCCGAGAGTGAAGGAGGGTGAGTGTCTCTCCTGGAGGCAGCGATAGCTGCAGCTGCATTGTACTTGTCAAAAGATTGTTTATCACAATCCAAACCAAGGTGCCATAAATAATTTTTAAATAAAAGTAGGGGTATGACTGAATGGAAACAGCTTCCCCGTTTATGCCGCTCAGACGAATAGGAATGCCAACAGCTGTTCTGGTGTACGTCTGTTATTTTTCTGAGTTGACTATCTTATATTATTTTCCTTTATGCATATACTTGCATTACTTACGAGACTGGGGCCTGCAGAGGTCAGGACTGGGCACCAGATCTCCCTAGAACCAGAGTTACAAAGGGTTGTTAAGCAGCCATGTGTGTTCTGGGAACCGAACTTGGGTCCTCCCCAAGAGCAGAAAGTGCTCTTCCTTGCTAAGTCGTCTCTCCAGCCCAGGGCTTTTTTCTTTTTACATCATTTTTATGGGCATTTTTGTGTGTCGTCACTAGGGCTAAGCATTATTTTACAACTTCACGTCTTTCCTGCAGTGGCTGAGCAGGGTGTGGCCAGCCTGTAGGCTGTCATGCCAGCCTCGCCCGAGGCGCCACTTTCCTCACAGGGCAGTCTGGCCCACGCTCCCTTGCAGCCTTCCGTGCAGCGGGGAGGTGACAGGTGCCCAGCAGATCTGATAGGACTTACCATGAGGTGACAGCAGCAGGCAGGACAGTCTCTCAAGCTAGTCACAACTCCTTGGGAAACTTTGGCCCCAAGGACAGAGTTGATCTGTTGGTGGCAGCCTTTTCCTTTATGCACTGCTGGTGCCAGTGATGCCGCTGGCCCGTGAGACTCAGAGGCTGATGTTTCTCCTGACTAGAACATGAGCCATTCAGGGTCCTCCCGAGCAGATTGGTCTCTTTCTCAGGCACACCTTGTAACACTAGGTACCATTCACTTCCTTCCCCTGATACTGTGCTAAGCACCTTAGCGGTATTTGCTTACCTAATCCTCAGGATAATCCTGTGACCGGTGTTCTCTTTCTCAGATGGAGAACATGAGCTTATTGAGGTTTGTCACTCAGACCAGGGTTCTAAAACTTCCAAGGGCAGACAAGAGTGTCGGCTGCCATCCCATTGTCCTGGCAGTCTGGTTCAGCTGCAGCCGTGTTTGAGTCTATGATCTGAGGAGGGGCTTGGTCTTCAGGGCACGTAGGGCTATCACTGGCACATTTGTGGACTGTAGCCCTTGGGAGTGCTTCCCATTGTCTGAGATGCCACAGCTCACTGCCCAGGAAGGGGCCATGGTGCAGTAGTAGTTTTCTCTTACTCTGGTCTTGTTTGTTTAGGGGGTTGTTATTTTCTCCTGCTTCTTCCTGCTGGGGATCAACCCAGGACCTCCCGTGTGCCGGCAAATGCTCTGCCATGGGTTACATCCTGGTCTCTCGTTTGGTTTTCCTACAAAAATTAAGACTAAAATTACTGTCCTTTTTCATGTTCCTGCCATTGGCCTTTAATGGCAGATTTGTTTTTTCAAGACAGGGTTTCTCTGTGTAACAGCCCAGGCTATTCTGGAACTCACTCTGTAGACCAGGCTGGCCTCAAACTCAGAGATTCACCTGTTTGCCTCCCTAGCGCTGGGATTAAAGGTGTGCGCCATCACTGCTGGCTTAATGGCAGGTTTGACTTCTGCTCAGGTGCCTCTTGAAACAAGTGAAGTATTTATTTCTTGGTGCCAGGGATTGAACTCAGGCTTCGCCTGTGCTTTGCACCGCCCACTGATGAGCACCCAGCCCAGACAAGGGAACTCTTGCTGTAGAAGCCAAGCCTTGTTCATTCTTATTGTTGTCTAGATGTCTGAATTCTATTTGTGTACTTGAGGGCTAGTGGAACTAGTCTTTTTTGTTTGTTTGTTTTTTGAGACAGGGTAGCCCTGGCTGTCCTTAAACTCACTATGTAGACAGGCTGGCTTCGAACTCGCAGAGATTCTCCTGCCTCTGCCTCCTGAGTACTGGGATTAAAGGCGTGCGCCACCATGCCTGTCCTGGAACTAGTTTTCAGTTTGCCCAACAGTGTTGTCAAGAGGGGCTTCCTGATGGTAGAGACGGAAATGACGTACATCAGGGTTGCAAAGAAAGAACTGATAGCGGGCACTGGGACTAAGGAGCTGTGAAACCTGACGAACTGGGTCACTTGAATGGGAGACTGAGGGTTGAGTCGTTCTTATGTGTATGTCTGTGTGTGTGCCTGGAGGCTAGAGGAGGACTAAAGATATTCTGTTATATGAGTCTTCATTTGACTTCCTCCACTGAACCTGGGGCTAGGCTAGTAAGGCCCAGCAACCTTTCCGTCTCTGCCTCCCATAGCACTTGGGTTACAGGTACACAAACATCATCTCACTTCTGGGGATTTGAACTCAGGTCCTCATGATTGTACACCAGCAGCACTATTTAATTGATGATTTAAAGATCATCCAAGTAAGGTGGTACACGCAGGTAATTCAGCACTCAGGAGTTTGAGGCTAACTCACGCTGCTTCATAAGATCCCGTGTCTTAACAGGTGACATTAACAAGTTCATCTCCTGGTGTCAGCAGCCAGAGTAGGTGCCTTACTGCACGGGTGCTCAGTGGAGCACCCATGGTCACAAGGAGCAGGGCAGGGCAGCAGAGGGATGGATGGCTTTCTTAATTATAGCTTCACCAGGCTCAGCCCTATGACTGACCCTGTGGCACGTGAAAGCTGCTGGTGGTGCAAGAAGACTCTGTGGCTTAGCTGTCTGCTGTCTGGGGCAGTGGCCATGGTGAATAATGTTCTCATCATGGGAGGTGCCGTATAGGTCAAGGGGAAATTCTGGGAGGAGGTCATACATTCTGAAATGGTTTTAAGCATGTATACCTTAGGGAGGAAAGAGCCTTGCGTGATGATTCTGCAGGCTCTTCCATGAAAAGCTGCAGGTCCTCCAGTCCTTGACCTTTGATGAGGTCACTAGAATCTCTCCATGCCTGCCTCAGACTGAGCCTGTCACATGTGCTGGCTGCTCACTGGCCTAAGATGGGCCACCTTCTGCTTCTTGCTCCATGCCTTTGCTTATTTTGTTTTGCTTTTCTTAAGTTTTTTTTTTTAATTTATTTATATTTTCTGTATGAGTGCTCTGCAGGCCAGAAGAGGCCATTAGATCCCATTACAGATGGTTGTGAGCCACCATATGGTTGCTGGGAATTGAACTCAGGACCTCTGGAAGAGCAGCCAGTGCTCCCAACCACTGAGCCATCTCTCCAGCCCCCTGCTTTTTCGAGACAAGGTTTCTCTGTGTAGCCCTGGCTGTCCTGGAACTTTGTAGCTTTGTGGCTGCTTCTGCCTCTCGATTGCTGGGATTAAAGGAGTGTGCCACCACAGCTCAGCTGCAGTCTTTCTAAAATTTAATTGTATTACAAGTCTTTTTACATTTCTTTAATGTCTGTGTGTGTGCATGCACAGGTAGCGGTCAGAGGGCAGTTTTCGGTAATTGGTTCTCTCGTTTCATCATGAGGGGCCTGGGCTCAGACTCAGGTCAGTATGCGTGGTAAGCTGTGTCTTTCCTTGCCAGACTGGCTCACCTACCCTATATTCCTTTTTTCTTCCAAATAACAAATCCGAGCTTCCAGCTGTTGATTGGCAGTGGCAGGAGCAGAATCATTGTACAGGTTTGTGAGTTTATTCCCTGGGCATTGTACCAAACACAGCTCGATATTTTCCCTGAAGAACGCAACATGCCTTTAAATGCCAGCTTCCCGGGCGTCCCAGCCAAAGCATTTCATCCTTTCTCTGGGCACTGGTCTCCATTACCTCAGGTTTCCTGTGGCTTATCTCTACTACAAGAGCCTCCTAGGCGTAGGACACAGGCTTGGCCACGTCTGAATGTTCCAGGCTCAGTGCTCTAATGGGAACTAGGAGGTCAAAGAAAACAGTCAGCAGCAGGAATAGATGTGTGGGAAACTGAATCTTTAATTTCCAATTCATCAGCTCTCTGTTAGGAACAGAGCAGGATGGTATGCCATCCTGTCTCCTGTCCACTGTGGGAACTGTGTTTCTCTTGAGTACTGATCTCAAAAGCCTGGGGGCATAGCAACCGAATGAAACCTTCTCTGGTAGATTTCCAGTGGTTGGAGGTAGGAGGTAAGGGAGTGTTGCAAACGGAGTAGCCGTGGCCCTTAAGCACAGGATGGTGGCCATGATGTGAGGCTTCAGCTTGGCGTGACAGGACTTGTGGTAGAGCTGATGAGGCAAAGCTGTCCGCTAGCCCTCCTGGTTCACTTCTGCAATTCCCTGGCTTTGTGAGTTCTGGCCTTTAAGCCAGAGCAGTGCACCTGGGAGTGCCGGAGGCACAATCTCCTATGTGAACTTCCCCAGCGTGTGGTCTCCCTTCTCTAGCAAGGAGTACCACTAGGATTTCAGCCTCTCCACACAGTTACATTCCTTTACTTTGGCCCTAGCTGAATCTTTTCATTCAGGCAGGTTACTGTCCAACCTCTGCAGGAGTTTCTCTAGCTTGCCCTTGTGTGGTCTCATTCGTCAGTGCTCATTGGTTATGAAGTCTGGTGCTTTTCTTTGTTCCTTTAATCTCTAAGTTAGTTCTTTCTTTCTTTCTTTCTTTCTAAGATTTATTCATTTTATGTGTATGCTGCTCTATCTGCATGTACACCTGCATGCCAGAAGAGGGCATCAGATCCCATTGTAGATGGCTGTGTGTCACCATGTGGTTGTTGGAAATTGAACTGGGAACTCTGGAAGAGCTGCTAATGCTCTTAACTGTTGAGCCACCTCCCCAGCCCTAATCCCTAGGTTCTTATTGTAAACTGCTGGAAGGGAAAGATACTAGGGTGATCTCTAAATATCATTGCTATCATGCTGTCTGCCCCCATCCCCACCTTACAGGGTTTCTCTGTGTAGTTCAGGCTGCCCTGGAACTTGCTATATAGGGCAGGCTGGCCTCAAAACTCACAGAGATCCACCTGCCTCTGCCTCCCAAGTGCTGGGACTAAAGGAGTTGCCACCATGCCCGGCTCCTGCAGGTTCTTGTGGCTGATGCTCTGGTCGCCTTTTCAAATAGAACAGAAGTTGTTCTGAGTAGCAGCAACCAACTGTTTAGACAGAGGCACCAGTTCTGCTTACTCACTTGGTGCCTTCTGGACCTCACCATGTGGCTTTCTAGATGACAACACTTTTCTCTACAGCATTCAGCCAGATGTTGGGTGTCTTCTAGGGCAGAGACTGTCTTATTTGGTTGTTTTGTGTTGGCCACGGGAGCTTGCCTTTATATTCTTCACTCCAGGGAGGAAGGTTTGCTCCCAAATGAAATGTAAAATCTTCTCTGTACTTCTCAAGGGTTCTCCGGAGTCTTGTTCTGCCCCTGGAAATCCTACTTTGTCCCGGGCCCATTTCTTATCTGATTTAACTAGCAGTTAGAGAAGAACCCTCATCAGCTGCTGGAGGACAGAAAACTAAGATACTTGGCTTTCTCTGTAGTGTTGGTGCCTAGAAACTACCTAGCTTGTTATCCTGTAGGAGTTGTTAGCAGCTGGAAACTACCTGGCTTGTAGCAGTCTCCGAGATGTTATCCTGTAGGGTCGTTAGCAGCTGGAGACAGACCTCTGCCACTCTTCCACATTCCCAAGGCTGCTTCTCCTGTCAGTGAGGTTTGGTTGAACTTGGTCACAGGTACAAGTTTGAGAAAGAGATTGGGAAATGTGTGGTTGTTGCTTCTGCCGCAGAGGCTGGCACCCACTCAGGTAGGTTCTGGCAGATGTCTTTGCTGATAAGGATGACCTACCAAAGTTAGCTCATCAGCGTAGCTCTGATCAGTTCCGCCTCTGTTTGTAAGGCTATTCCTTCCCACCTCCTCCAGTCTTGCTGTTGTTTGAGTTCTGGGGATTGTGCACGGCAGGCAGGTAATCTAGCAAGAACACATCCCCCCCGCCCCCCGTGCCCTAGTTTTTTTTTTGTTATATTAAAAGCATTTTTTTAATGGCCACAATAGTTTATTTACAATCGAACGCTTTATATTTACAAGACAGCCAACTTTACACATCAGAAGTTGTATCAAAAGTATGAATTAAAGCACAGACGATATGAAATGGGCATAAAGCAACACTGAGGTGGAGAGACAAGAATTTCTCTTTTAATTTATTAACACTAGCTTACACTTTGTCAAAGAAAAAAATAAGGAACTATCTTTTAGGAGAACTGCAGGGTCTGTCTATCTGCTGAAGACTGAATTTCACAGTGCTGGATCCCATGTATGAGAAAATAAGACTCATTTTCCCCACACTTAACACGCTATAATCTCACTCCTGGAACTTTGCTTCAACCTCCTTCTCAACAAACCTCAACACACCCAAACCAAAGGAAATCGAGGAGAGGACATCAAAAATAGTAGGCCCTCAGGGAAAGGAGAACCAAAGCAATAGAATCCATTTATGTCCTGCCAGATAGCTCCTCATGGATTCCTCTCAGTCTAGCAAAAACAGGTCTGAGGAGTCCTCTGTGAGAGGCAAGGTCTGTTCACCCAGACCCAAAGTCGGACGCTGAGAGGACCAGAAACAAAGAAAAGAGGCACCCGGCTGAGGTCACTCCTTAGGAAGGAGCACATGATAAGGAAACATAACACAGGTCAGGGTAGGAGCACTAACCAGTTTGCCTCATTAATAAAAACAAAATCACAAAAATCTGGCTCAATTTTTCCAGGTCTATCCTCATTTCTTAAGGTGTGAGATGAAAGCCCCTGTGGAACAAGTCCTCTTTCTCTCTACACCCTTGCTGCAATGACGTTTACAGCAGCTTCTGTTACAGAGTGAGCACACTCCTAAGCAGATGGGGTTACAGGTGAAAACCCACAAACACACAGAATTGAGAGCAGCAAGGTCATCCAAGAATACTACCTGCACTGCTGGAATAACCCAGGGAGCACAGATAACATCTCAAAAAGAAGCTTTAGCAGTGGGAAGCCCTGAGGAACTTCTCTTCCCAAAATCCCATTCTCACGCTCAGCTGATGGGCCAGCCACACACCTTGGCTTCTCGCTAAAGCTGCGAATGATCCAGGGACATTACTCTCTTCAAGGATAAACCCCTACCTCCTAGATTAGACCCCTACTTGTTTGTTAAAAACGTTTTATTGTGTGTGCATATGAATGTGGGCAGGTACATGCCACATGTGAGGTCAGAGGACAACTGGAGAAGTTGGTCCTCTCGGGTCACCAGACGGTACAGCAAGCACTTTTACCCACCCAGCGATCTCACCAGTCCTGTTTTGGAGATACTCTTTTTGTTTGGTCTTATATAGGCTGGCTTCAAATGTGCCAAAGATTACCTTGAATTCCTGATCCTCTTGCCTTTACTTCCCAAGTGCTGGGATTATAGATGTGTGTCGCCATGCTCAGACTGCAACCTACTTTCTAAAAAAAGATTTATTTATGTACTTTATGTATATGGGTGTTTCATTGGCATGTATCCATACACCAGAAGACGGCATCAGATTCCATGGGATTACAGTTAGACTTGTGGAACCTGGGAACTGAACTCAGGACCTCCGGAAGAGCAGCCAGTGCTCTTAACCTGAGCCATCTCTCCAATCCCATGACGTCTAATTCTTAAACATTTCCCCCCTTTTTGCCTTTTGCAGTTCAAGTGGTAGCTAAATAGAGGGATCTTATATTTGACTCTGACCAGCACACATCCCCTAACTTGACTGGATACTTCTTTTTCTTTGATCATTCCCTAGCTAATAGTTCAAGCTTTCTCTTGAAGACTGGTTTCTGCCTTTAGGCTCAGTGGACAGCAGTGCTGTATGGTCCCTCGTCTGTGGCTGGAGAACAAACCCTAGTGCTGACTAAACAATCCCCTTGCTTACTTGTCTCTCATTCCTCTGCCAGCTACACAACAGCCAATGCCGAATCTGACTACGAGCGGGACTCTGACAGGGAGAGCGAGGACGGTGAGGATGAAGTGAGCTGCGAGACTGTGAAGATGGGGAGGAAGGATTCTCTGGACCTTGATGTGGAGGTGGCTTCAGGCCCAGCATCTGCTGCCGTGGAGGCTGCTGGCTCTTCGGTCCCTGAGGATATGCTGCTGCTCCTGCAGCAGGCAGACGAGCTGCACCGGGGCAGTGAGCTGAACAAGCGCGAGGGCTTCCAGCTGCTGCTCAACAATAAGCTGGCGGTGAGGCTCCCTGCCTCCTTTGCCCCTCTCTCAGGGAATGAGACAAACCAACCAACCAACCCAAATCCAAAGAAACCCAGCAAAGCCACATGGGAAAGGAGATAGGGTCCTGAGCCTACCCAACAGCTCCCTGCCCCTGAGAAAGGGCCATGCTGTCTTCCTTACGTAGAACTCTGAGGAGTCCTACCTCTCTGCAAAGGACCCGATGCTTGTACCTCCCCCGACCCTGTTTCTCGTCTTCCTTGAGGCAGAGCCTAAATCTGCCTGCCCTACTTGAAATTCCTATTATAATTGACATTGTATAGGTCATTCAACATTTCCCTCAGGTTCACAAACCAAATTTACTTTGTAAATTCCTCCCTGAAATTAGAAACCACCCTTCACCCCTTGAGGCAGGTCTCACTGAGTAGCCCTGGCTACCTCAAACTAATACAGACCCACCCTCCTCGGCCTCCTGAGTGCTGGCATTGATGGTGCAGAAGTCCCCCTTCTCACGAGCAGTTTCCTATGTCAGCCAAAGACTTCTTCATGTCTTGTTGGAGTTGACCTTCCACCCGGACAATATTAAGAGGCCAAAATGTTCTTATCCAGACATAGTGCAAGCTATCAACTGGAGATAATGTCTCCAGTTAACTGAGCATGGCCAGCTGTGGAGTGGGAAGGCTGTGCACAGGGACTGCCAGATGTCAGTGATCTTACCGCTGCCGTGGAACAAAGATACAGTGTGGGGAAAGACCAAGGCCTCCATTCCTCACGGATGAGGAGACTCATTTATTCCTTTTTGGTCTATAGTATGGAAGCCGACAAGACTTTCTGTGGCGTCTGGCCCGGGCCTACAGTGACATGTCTGAACTTACTGAGGAGGAGAGCGAGAAGAAGTCCTATGCCCTAAATGGTAAATGCTGATAGGTCCCTGATGGCAATGTAACCAACTGTGTAGGTACAGCTGGCCCAGATGCTGTCAGGACAGGAACAGCATAGCTACTCAGTGGAGACAAACTGGCTCCAAGGCCTCTTGCACCTTATGACCCAGTAGCATGGTGTTGGCTGTTTTTAATGTCTGTGTTGTGGTCATACTGTTCTTTGCTTTGACTTTCCAACCAGGAAGAAGGGGCGACCTATCTCAAGCGGAGAAGGTTTTACTTCCTACGTAAGAATCTGGAGCCAGCAGCCCAGAGGTTCTGAGACTAGGTGTAGTATGTGTGTGTACCTAGGAGAAAGTTGAGAGGTTGTTGCTGGCTTGTTTGGCTGCTAAGTTTCCACTTTGGAAGGCAGAATGCAACCTGCACCATGCTGCTCTTAGGACTTGGCAGTCCTGAAGTAAGAGAATCTGGGAACTTTCAAAATGAGAATGAACTGGGGTGATGGATCACACCTGTAATCTCAGTACTTGGGGGCTGAGGCAGGAAGACTGCAGTGATTCTCAGGCCAGACCAGGTTACATTGTGAGGTTCAGGTTCAATTATTATTTTGTTTTTCTCTTCAAAGGTTTCTGATTTCAGGTAGACGTTGGTGGCATATACTGAGCATTTAGGAAGATTGAATTTGAGGTCACAGTGAGACCTCTGAAGTATCTAATGAGACTCTATCTTAAAAATAAATAGAACTGCCGGGCGGGGGTGGTGCACACCTTTAACCCCAGCACTCAGGAGGCAAGGCAGGCAGATCCTCTAAGTTTGAGGCCAGCCTGGTCTACAGAACAAGTTCTAGAACATTCAGGGTTACATGGAGAAACTGTCTGAAAAAAACAAAAAACAAAATAAATAAGTAAAAAAAATAAGCAAATTCTTGGAGACAGGGTTTTACTACATAGCGTTATGCTATATTGGAACTGGCTACATAGACTGGGCCTAGGCTGTCTCCAACTTTCAGCAATCCTCTTTTTCCAATCAGGGTTTCTCTGTAGTTTTGGAGCCTGTCCTGGAACTAGCTCTTATAGACCTGGCTGGCCTTGAACTCACAGAAATCTGCCTGCCTCTCCCTAGTGTTGGGATTAAAGGCATAAAATTCTTGGAAGTCAGTTGTGGCAGCAAAAGCATTGAACCATATAGTCCAACATTCAGAGGCTGAGGCAGGAAAGAGTGTTGATTGTTGAGTTTGAGGTTACCCTGGGTTACACAATGAGACTGTCTTTTAAAAAAAGTCTGGAAGATCTGCAGGGGGCAGGACCGGTGGCTCAGTGGAGAAAGTGCTTGCTGTGCAAGTGTGAGGACCATAGCTTATGTCCCCAGCATCCATGTCCTGGGTGGATCCCTGGGCCAGCCAGATCTTTGGGAGTTCAAGGCCACCCTGGTCAACAGACTGAGTTCCAGGATAGCCAAGACTTTGCAGAGAAACCCTGCCTTGAAAAACAAACAACGATTTTTAAAAATAAGATCATGAACACTTTCCAAATAAAATACAAACATAACTAAATTAATATACAATCTTAGTGATATATGAGCATCCTTAAGCGTACAGACCTTTCAGAGTAAGGTCTGTTGCAAACAGTTTCTGATGGTTCCATTCTCATATTGAATTGCTAAAATTTACTTCAGGAGCATCAGGCAGGCATAAAGAGATGGTAGGACGGAGCCAGGCACAGCACTGCTTGTACTTGAGAGGTGCAGGCAGGATCTCAAGCTCAGGGCTAGTCTGAGCTACATGGGAAGCCCGTATCTCCAAACAATCAAGCCGCTGCTGCTGGAGGTGGGGAAGCTGTGTGCAGAGCGAGGGGTCATTCTTCCTGCACTGCTTCTCGCTGGAGTGTGCGCAGGAGCCTGTGCTAACACTGGGTCTACCCCTGTCTTCCAGGAAAGGAAGAAGCAGAGGCTGCTCTGGAGAAGGGAGACGAGAGTGCTGAAAGTCACCAGTGGTAATAATACCCTGCTGGCCTTTAAGACCAGAGGAGACCCTTTCCTTTACCCTGGCCAGAGGCATTTGCTTGAGGAACTAGGGGAGCACAAGTCTGAGGTCCCTACATGTACCACACCCGTCAGGCAGGAAAGTGTGCTTTGGAGGATAAGGCCAGGGAAAACAAGCTTAGCTCAGCTGGGGCTAAGAGGACTGAGCATCTTTCCCAGAGTCACTCTGGCCACACACTTGGTTTGGAGTTCTTCAAGGAAGCTGGGAGAACCTGCAGTTCCTGTCCTGCAAAAGCTCTTTTCCCCAGCTGTGATCCCTGGCTGGTAGTAGACCTTGGCTTCTTTGGTTGGTTTGCATGAGATGTGAGCTTACATCCAGGAAACTCAATGATCATCTTAATAGAACTTAGCTTCCTGGGCTGAGGGTACAGTACAGTGGTAGAGTGCTTACCTGGTACCATAGGTAGAGCCTCGGTGCCGCACTCAGCACCGCACAAGTCAGGCCTTTGTGGTCTTTTGGAGACAAGTTTTGCCTACTGGCTTGTGCCAAGGTCAGTTCATGTCCTGGGCCCTGATTCCACCATCTGTTTAGTTTAAAAAAAAAAAAAAAACTTCTTCTTCTACTGTCCTTTGCTTTTCAAATCTCTACCCTCAGATTGTAAGCTGAGAGGCTGTGTTTTTCCATCTATGGCTGAAAGTTTCCGTGCAAAGGTTCTACCCAGAAGCCAGGTAACTTTCTAGGTGTCATTGCTCTCCCTGGGCTCTCAAGGATGAAAACAGCAGGTTTTTTTGTTTTGTTTTTAAATTACTCCTAAGGAACAGCTGTTTGGATTGTACTTGGAAATGAGCCAAGTGTCCAATACAAGCCTACCCCCCACACCCTTGCAAGCTGTTTAACAAATCTGTGAAAACTTGGGTATGGGAAGACATTGTTGTCAACTTTGCTTCGAGTATGGGTGTTCGGGGCAGAGGACAGGTGGTTCCGTCTTCTCCTGGTTTCTGTGTGTGGTGCTGGGAATTGAAGTCACTCTACCACTGAACTAAATTGCCCACACGGCCCTAAGTTTGGGTTGAGGGTGGGTGGAGTGATAGATGGCTCAAGTAGGCAGGGCAAGTCTGGAGACCTGAGTTTGAGCCCGAGAATACACGTGAAGGTGTAAGGAGAGATCCGACTCCATAGTTGTCCTCAGACCTTCACATTGTGTGGCATGGAATGTCTTTGTAAACATACACATTAAGTTTACATTTTTTATAGTTCAGTAGTTAGGGGCATACATTGCTCTTCCAGAAGACTCAAGTTCAGTTTCCAGCTCCCAAGTCAAGTGGCTCACGATTGCCACTGACTGCAGCGCAGGCACTCTGATGCCTTCTTCTGACCTCAGCTCTTATGTTAGAAACAGACATAATATATATAGCTTTTAAAAAGTTTGGATTCTTCTGGCTTCCCAAATGGCACTAAACAAAGACCTTACATATGCTAGGCAAGTACTTTACCCCTGTAGTACTGTGCCCCTGGCTACATTTCCCAGACCCTAGAAGACAAAGGTTAATTTGTTCCACTGGCAGTGAGGATGTGAGGGGAGGGCTAAAATAGATCTTTCTTCCTTTGATCCATTAGTTCCCAAGTTAATAAAATCATTTGACCATGTCAAAAACGATATCCTCCTAATGATATATTACCTGTATATTCATCTAGAAAGACCTAATATACAGTCAGAAGGTAGTAATAAGAACATACTTAGACATCTCTTGTTTGATGCTGATTTTTCAGATGGTTTGCAGTATTGAAGTCAAACCCAGTCACATGATAGATCACTAAACTGCAATCTAACTACTCTAAGTGTCCATGATATTGTGACTGTACTCTAGGATCAAAGGGACATCTGCAGATCTGGGCTAAGCCAGGCAGTGGTGGCGCTCGCCTTTAATCCCAGCACTTGGGAGGTAGAGGCAGGCATATCTCTGAGTTTGAGTCCAGGACAGGCTCCAAAGCTACAGAGAAACCCTGTCTCAGAAAACAAAGAAACCAGAATCTGGGTTGAGATCTCGCCTATTTTTGTTTCACACAGGGTTTTGCTATGGCAGTCTGGTACTTGCTATATAGCTCAAGCTGGCTTCAAACTTGAGACAAGCCGCCTACCTCAGCTTTGTGAGTGATGCAATTACTGAAATGTGCCATCACACCTGACTAAATGATCTAAAGTATAAAGGAGAGATTTACTCTTTGTGTCCATGTGTGGGGCATGCCCAGCAGGGAGAGAAAGGGCTTAAACATGAACCAAACCTAGCCTTACTCTGGAGAATTACTGTAGGCCTACTACTAAGTATTAACCGGGACCATGATGAGTCTAAGAGGAGAGTACTATGTACAGATGAAAAGCACCTTTTCAGTTCTACAGGAGAGGGGAATGTAACCACACGAGGGTGATGCTTCATTCCCTGCACTCACAGTCCGGTCCTCGTCCCTGAGCTTGCTGCTTCCCCCCTTAGGTATGCAGTGCTTTGTGGTCAGCTGGCTGAGCATGAGGGCATCTCGAAGCGTATCCAGAGTGGCTTTAGCTTCAAGGTGAGGACAGGCTTCTCTTTGCCTTGTGCTGCCCCCAGTCCAGATTCCTTGCTCCTTTAGACTGGCTCCCATGCAGACCTGGTGCTTTGCGGCTCTTTTCAGATCAACTCTGGGCTTGATGTTAGTTTGTATTTTCTCCTCAGGAACATATGGACAAAGCCATTGCACTTCAGCCAGAAGACCCCAGGAGTCACTTTCTTCTTGGCAGGTGGTGCTACCAGGTGAGTAAGTTCCTGTCACACTAGTCTGAGCAAGGTCCTCAGTGTTCGTCCTACTCTTATTTCCTCAGAATCGTTCATGCTATTATTGGTAGACGACCCTGTCGTATGTAGCCCAGGCTGGCCTCAGACTAATCTTTCTGCCTCAGCCTCCTACATGCTAGCAGACTGCCTTTGAACCAATTCTCTTGTATCTATAGTTTTGGGATTACAAGCACATGACACCATGTTTGGCTCAAAAAAGCTTTGTGTTTTGTTTGTTTTTTTCCAAGACAGGGTTTCTTTGTGTAGCCCTGGCTGTCCTGGAACTCAGAAATCCGCCTGCCTCTGCCTCTCAAGTGCTGGGGATTAAAGGCATGCACCTGGCTTAAAAAATGACTTAAAACCTATTTCATGCCTTAATTTTTTTGGTGGCAGGTCTCTCACTTGAGCTGGTTGGAAAAAAAAACAGCTACAGCCTTGTTCGAAAGCCCTCTTACTGCCACTGTGCAGGACGCGCTTCAGAGCTTCCTAAAGGTATCAAGGGAACGGTGGGCGGAAGCCACAATGCTGTTCTTGGGACCTTTGCTGTCGAAGGTGTTTCCTAGTTGGGGATCATTTTGTATTCCCTACCTTATTTTAAGGGAAAATGAGAACTACTTGGAGTTTATAAAAATGGTAATCACCAGACCCAATGAATAAATTTTGTGATTATTACTTAGAACTTTCTAGTACAGCTTGAATTGAATTTATGAACCTTTTAATAAAGTGATTTTTTTTTTCTCCAGGCTGAAGAACTACAGCCAGGATTTTCAAAAGCTGGACGGGTGTATATTTCTAAGGTAAATTTACCTTCAACATAGGTGGAAATACTTAAATTGTATTTCTGGGATCTTTTAGTGCCTGGGATTAAACATGTCTGCTCTGCCACTGAACCATCTACACTGTTAGGCCCCTATTTTTTTTTTTAAATATTTATTTATTTATTATGTATATATACAATGTTCTGTCTGTGTGTATCCCTGCAGGCCAGGAGAGGGCACCAGACCTCATTACAGATGGTTGTGAGCCACCATGTGGTTGCTGGGAACTGAACTCAGGACCTTTGGAAGAGCAGGCAATGCTCTTAACCACTGAGCCATCTCTCCAGCCCCCTAGGCCCCTATTTTTTGAGAGCTATACTGGAGGGTGTATTAGCAACAAGATTCTTAGTAGGTAATGTGAGCTACTGTATCTCTCCCCCTACCCCATGGTTTTTCAAGGGTTTGTGTAACAGCCCAGGCTGGCCTCAAACTCACAGAGAACAGCCTACCTCTGCCTCCTGAGTGCTGGGATTACAGGCGTGCACTGTCACTCCCAGCTTCTGCGTGTACACGAGTCTTTCTCATCTCTTTATGTTTTTAAGTTTTCGTTGTTCTTTTTTCTCAGTGCTATAGAGAATTAGGGAAAAACTCTGAAGCTAGAAGGTGGATGGAGTTGGCTCAGGAGCTGCCAGATGTCACTAATGAGGTAAACTAGTAATTTTTGTAAAGACAGCATGTCAAAATGTAACTTTTGGCTGGCCTCCATCTGACTGTTTTGTCTGAGCTTCCCAAGTACCTTGGATCGCAGCAATATACCACAGCTTAGCTTGGCAATGCTCTGTGTATGCCGTGACTCTCATACATGGTCATACACACTCAGGTGGCAGTCCTTGCCTTCCACCTCAAGTTGGGTCAGGGTCTCTTTGTTATTCGCCACTGTGCATGCTGAGCTAGCTGGCCAGAGAGATTCAGGGTCTTGATTCTCCATCTTCTCTCACCTCCCTTAAGAACACTGGCTACACCAGCTGTGTTTCTGCACTTGGCTTTGATGTGGGTTCTGAGGTCTGCATTCACACACTAATACTAAAATGGCAAATGCTTTACTTATTGCCCATCTTCCCCTCAGGCCCAAGTAAAATTTTTCAAAAGAGCCTTTAAATACTGATATCCGCCACAGTTACCTTTTACTATTTTATGTGGAGTCGCCTACCTGCTATGCAGTATGTGAGGTGCATAGACTCAAACTGTCGTGGGGAAAGTTAGGAAGACTGGTAACAGCTCAGTATAGAAGCAAAGAGCCCCTGTCAGGTGCTAGCAATTAGGGAAAGGCTTAATTCTGATTCTGTATTTCTGGATTTGTTTTGTCTCCTAGGATTCAGCTTTCCAAAAAGACTTGGAAGAATTGGAAGTAATTTTAGGAAAATAATCACATTTCAATGACTTGAGGGTACTACTTAAATGGAGAAAAAAATCAAGTTGCGTTTTCCCCTGTGACACCACTGAGTTCAGGAAACAAGGCAAGACTGGTTTAGGGTATGTCCCTCAACTTTCTATGTTATCAGTTAATTTATTATAATCTTTTGATCTAAAACTGGGGATTGACTTGCAGCTTAGGTTCCTGCTTTCTTCCTTTTAAGTGAATTCTGGAAAATCAAGACAGTATAGCTATAGGGGTAAGTGTGAAGACAGCCCAAGGGGCCAAGAGCTGGGGATGAAGTAGCAGAACCACAAAACAAAGAGCCATGGCAACAAAGCATAGGACTCACTATCTTTGCTAATATTCAGCACATATTTATTGTTCTAAAGTAACACCCTCCCTATGAGACAGGAGCGCCAGCACAGCCTCATCCTGCCCTGCGACCACCCATCATGTAGACTCTACCTGTATTCTTGGGGTGAGAGGCTGGACCACGTGAGTTCTGGCAGTTTTTGGGATGACAGCACTGACAAGGGGTTTAAAAATATATTTTGAAAATGATTTGAAGAGAAGCCTGGAATATTTTTTTTGGTACAAATTTGAAATAAACTAAATTTGATTAGAAGGATATATTGTATGTTTCCATTATTTGACAATTTCAGTTTTTTTTCTTCCACAGAGGAAACTGAAGACAAAAATAGTGCAAACACTTTGAGTTCTTTATCTTTTTAGCAAAAAAATTTTAGATTTAGTTATGTGTATGTCATGTGTTTGCCTGAGGGAAGCTGAGTCACCTGACATGGGAGAGCAGCAAGTGTTCTTAACCACTGAGCTATCTCTTCAGCAATAAGAGACAGGAGTCTTTTCTATCAAATACTATTAAAACTTGTGTTTAGAACAAGAAATTCTAATAGTTATCTTATGAATGTTTTAATCCCCCCCCCACACACACACACCTGGGAAAACCTTTGTTTACACAGAGGTCCCCCACTGCATTGCAGAAATCCCTTTCCTCTTTCTGGACTAGGCTGCCCTGGAACTCTAGGAGTGTTGAACCCCCCCCCCCCCCCGAAAAAACCATGAACTAGCACCTGGAGAGATGGCTCAATGATTATAGGCAGTTGTTGCTTACAGGACCCAGGTCCAGTTCCCAGCACCCATAAGGTGACTCAAAGCCACCTGTAACTCCAGTTCCAGGACATTTGATGACTTCCGATTTCTGTGGACACCAGTTGGGCATATATGTAATGTACATACGCACATGCAGGAAAACACACATAAAAAAATTTATGTGTGATGTGCATGCTCCCAGAGGCTAGGTAGTGTTAGATTCCTCTGGAGCAGAAGTTAAAGTTGTTTGTGAGCTACCTGATATGGTTACTGGGAACCGAACTTCAGTCCTTGACAGAGCAAGCAAGAACTTTTAGTTAAAAGTGCTGGGCCAGGGTGCTGGAGAGATGGCTCAGTGGTTAAGAGCACCGGCTGCTCTCCCACAGGTCCTGAGTTCAGTTCCCAGCAACCACATGGTGGCTCACAACCATCTATTTGGGATCTGATGCCCTCTTCTGACATAAAGGTGTACATGCAGATAGAGCACTCATACATAAAATAAATAAATAAATCTTTAAAAAAAAAAAAAAAGTGCTGGGCCAGCCAGGCGGTGGTGGCGTTCGCCTTTAATCCCAGCATTTGGCAGGCAGAGGTAGGCGGATCTCTGTGAGTTCGAGGCCAGCCTGGTCTACAAGAGCTAGTTCCAGGACAGGCTCCAAAGCCACAGAGAAACCCTGTCTCGAAAAACCAAAAAGTGCTGGGCCAGGTCCCTGGAGTTCACCATGCTTTTCCTTTCTTGGCAAGCTGTTTAAGTCTAGCCTTAGCCGGGCTGTGGTGGCGCACGCCTTTAATCCCAGCACTCGGGAGGCAGAGGCAGGCGGATCTCTGTGAGTTCGAGGCCAGCCTGGTCTACAAGAGCTAGTTCCAGGACAGGAACCAAAAGCTACGGAGAAACCCTGTCTCGAAAAACCAAAAAAAAAAAAAAAAAAAAAAAAAAAAAAAAAAAAAGTCTAGCCTTGTGTCACTGGTGTCCTGGGTGCCCTCTAACTCAGATCAGAGGCTGATCAGAAACTAGTTTCTGAAAATATTTCTAAAATAGAATCATTTGGCCAATGTCAGCCCTCTGCAACACAAGGCTTAGAGAATAAAAACGAAGACCACAGGAAAGAAGACGCAGAAGTAAATCAGCCTGGCAATCTCATTCCTGTGCCAAAGGATTAATCTAAATGTAGGCTTTCTTTAGTTTTCAAATTTTACAACTATAGCAACTGATCGTCACTACTCGGTACCCAATGATATTATGGAGATCATTCTGCAATACTCAGCTTGCATGAAAACATCTCCTGTAAATAGCATACTTACCATACATAACTACTTTATTAGCAGCTACAGAACAAATATGCTTAAGAGAAATCTTAACATATTATGGAATATTTGATTGCACTAAATTAATCCTGAACCAGAGGGTGAAGTCAGTGACTAGCTGACCAAATTAGCCATAGAGAGTTTGGAGGACCCAGGATTGACAGACACAGAAAGTAGTAGGGAGGGGCTTAGAAAGATTCATGGGTTTTGATCTGGGAAGTGTGGTCAACTGGTTGTTACTCTGCCACTTTCTTTTTTGGTTTTTTTGAGACAGGGTTTCTCTGTGTTCTAGAACTCACTCTGTAGACCAGGCTAGCCTCGAACTCAGAGATCACCCAGCCTTTGCCTCCCGAGTGCTAGGTTTAAAGGCATGAGCCACACCGTGCCTGGCCTCTGCTTCTTTCTTGATCTATCAGGTTTTACCCCAATATCTGACTCCTGAGTTTTTAATAGAACAATTTAGATAAATGCTTCAAGAACAAGATGCACCACTGGGCTGATAGTCTAGCATGTCTCATGCAAAGACTCCTTAACCAAAACAAGTTTTAAATCACGTGAGAGTTCAAGCATATAATTTTAAAGCTTGCATCTTACACATACAGAAAAAGAATGTAGAAAGCACCCATTCCCACTGTTACACATCTCAGGCATTTTATTTTACCATTACTGAGAAGTGAGAGGAGACTCAGGTCTTTCCAGTTTTACTTCTCTTGAAACCTAAGACTGAAACTGTTATTTCCTATCTCTCCTCCAAACACCAAAGAAACCAGACATTAATATACTCTATACTCTATGAGCGTTCAGGTCAGTTTGAATACTGACCCAGCTGTTTCTGCCACGAGAAAGCTGATACAATAATTGTTTTTCCGGAAGCCATGCTTTGGCAGTCACACCAGGAAGAGCCTGAAGAAGCCCAGGGAGCTGTCCTCTTCATTAGCTTTCCAGCATTTAAAAGTTTAACCAGGAAAAAAAGGCCCCAATCATTCACTCCTTGGCGTCTCCCACTCCATCTGCATTAATGGCAAACATGGCTTCGGCTTCTGGAAGACAGGGAGAGTCATAGACTTTGCAGATTCTGGTCTCCCCTCTTCCTTTCCTCAGGTACAGCCTGACCCAAAGACAGAGAAAAACACCAAGTTATAAGCAATTCTGTTCCTATGCCAGAACTGTTTCAGACAAGCGTTAACTTCCTAAGAGGATTTTTAGGATCTTTTTTAGTGTATTTGGTTACTTCTAAATTGGAGGAATTCATTTCTGCCATGACTCCCTTATTGAAAAGCTCGAGAAGCAAATTATTTTATAATTAGGGAGGCATATCAAATATTCATGCATTTTTTCACAATTGAGAGACTTTAATTATACGTAGGTGTTGGATATCCTGGAGCTGGAGTTACAAGAGATTGTGAGCCACCTGATGGAGGTGCTGGGAACTGAACTCAGGTTCTCTACAAGATCAGAATATGCTCATAATCACTGAGTCATCTCTCCATCTGCAAACAGTTGTATCAACCAAAACACAACAAATTCAGTGAGGCTTCCTAAATGTTTATACTATAACAATTTTAATAGGGTTTAAGTGGAAATTTTTTTTCTTTCTTTTTTCTTTTTTTTGAGACAGGGTTTCTCTATGTAACAGTCCTGGCTGTCCTGGAACTCACTGTGTAGACCAGGATGGCCTCAAACTCAAAAGAGATCCTCCTGGCTCTGCCTCTCAAATCCTGGGATTAAAGGTATGCACCACTACTGCCTGGTCAGGAAGTCTGTATCACAGTTTATGACATCCATTCCAGAAAACCTCTGTCATCATCTTACCTGGTTGTTGATGAATGGGCAATGATGTTTCCTCCAATAGGTTTTTTGGGATCTGCGGCAAACATGGCTGCTCCATCCACTTGGGCTACTACCTGGTTGGTGATTACTACTGCTACACCAAACTGATGAGGGAAAGAATGTCAGTTTTGTTACCAGAGACATACCAAAACATTAACGCTCACAACAAATCAATGGCTAACTAATGCTCATCTTTGATAATACAAGGTACTAATGTCCTCAGAAGGCTCCTGCAATTTGTAGCCACTGAAATCTTGGTTTCTTTACTACAGCTTACCTCATCAGCAAGTCGTAGTAGCATCCTCAGAAATCTGGCCAGATGCATTTGCCTGGCTGCAAGCTCTCCTCGGCCCGAGTAGTCTGTTCTGTAGAGGGCGGTAGCACTGTCTATAATAAGCAGTGCATACCTACAAGAAAAAATAGTTCTGTTAAAAATCTTCTCTTCCCCACCACCCTAAAATTTTACTAGTATTGCATATTTTCCACTTTTTGTTATTTATGTAACCCAGCTGTTCTGGAATTTATTATACTTGTCTTAGTCTCCCAAGTGCAAGCTCACATATAAAATATATGAGCTATTGACACCGACTTCCTAGTTCAAACACACGTTTTATTAAAATGTTTCTAAAATGTCCAATCTGAGACACCCTTTGGTGGGTATCTTCTGTTTTGTTTTTGGCAGGTGTCTCAGGGTTTCTATAGCTGTGACGAGACACCATGGTGACAACTCTTACAAAGGAAAACATTTAATTGGGGCTGGCTTACAGTTCAGAGGTTTAGTTCATTGTCATCATGATGTGTGTAAAGTACTTGTCACTGGAGTTATAGGCCATTATGAGCTACCTCATATGGGTACTGGGAAATAAACTTGGGTCTTCTGAAAGCAGAACAGCTGAGCCATCTTTCCAGCTCCAAGCTCCCTTTCGTTCCAGAATATTTTTATGTGTATTTTGTGTGTGACTAAGTGTTCATGTGTAAGCACACATTTGCATGTGAGTGTGGGCACACATATGAAGTGGCTCACGTGCAGGTTAGAGGACAATTTTGGATGTCAGTTCTCACTCTCCACTCTTTGAGACAGCATCTCTATTTTTCTCTGCTGTGTATTCAACCAGGCTACTGAGGCCACAGGCTTCTAGAAACACTTCCCATCCTACAGTGGAAGCAGGTCTGAGGTTACAACCCCTGTTCCAGGGGATTCTAGTCCTCTTCTGACCTCTACCCGCCCCTACGAGGCAATCATTTACAGGAACACACAAAAGTAAAAAAAAGTAAAAAAAAAAAAATCTTAATAATAAAACCAAAAAATATATCACTATATTAAAAACAAACAAAAAAACAAAGCTGGGCAGTACCGGTGTATACCTTTAATTCCAGCACTTG